TTCGGGAAATGGCAGAAACATTGAGGCAACAACAAGAGTGGCAACAACAGTGGCAGCAACCACATCCTCCCCCTCCACCTCCACCTCCGGCACCCCCTGTGCCAGACTTACAGAATGATGACCAAGTAATAGCTCTCACCAAGGAGTTTAAGAAAATGAAACCACCACAGTTCCATCGGGGATTGGATCCACTCAAGGCTGAAGCATGGGTCCCCGGCATAGAGAAACTGTTTGAAGTGTTTCCTTGCTTAGAAACACAGAAGGTACTTCTAGCCACTTTTACTCTTGAAGATGAGGCAAGAAAATGGTGGATGCTAATGCGTGAGAACAATAAAGATATTAGTTGGGCACGGTTCTTGGAAATTTTCTATGACAAATACTTCCCACAATGTGTTCGTGACAGAAAGGTGTCAGAATTTATGAAACTTAAGCAGAACAGCATGACGGTAGCTGAGTATGAGGCGAAATTTACTAAATTGGCCAGGTTTGCACCACATGTGGTTGATACCGACTACAAGAAAGCTAGACATTTTGAAGGAGGGCTTCGAGGTGATATCTTAGAAAGGGTAAATGCTCTCAAACTGGAAACCTATATTGAGGTACTAGACCGGGCCATAATATCAGAGGCTAACATAGCCAGATAGACCAAAACAACAATTGACTGGAAGGGTAGTAAAAGACAGGGCTTCTTTTTGAAGAAGAAATTTCCGAAGAAGCAATATTATAAATGAGTTAAAAGGATAAGAAAGAGGCCTAAGAGGAACGTATAAGTTAAGAACGGATTGAATCTTTTGTGACCCGATATGTGTTATGTATTATGTAGGGTCAAGCACAACGACGAATCCATCGGCAGAACACTGTGAGTAATATCTTAGCAAAGATATATGAAGTATGTCATTTGTCCAGTTGTTTACTCTTGTTTGAGTTTTGTAAGCTCATTAATTTGAAAGGGTGGACAATATTTGCTATGCCATATGACTGGGCCTAAGGCCGTTTGATACGAATGATTAGGCCAAAGGCCGTCGGACAGAAACGATTGGGCCAAAGGCTGTCGGATATGAATGAATTGGGCTAAAGGTCGTCGGATATGAATGAATTGGGCCTGAGGCCGTTTGATGTGTTTGGAACCGCAATCGCTTGACCTATATATATATACATATTCTAGATAGAAACATGAATTGGGCCCAAGGACGTCTGATGTATGTTGTTCTAAATACCGTTCGTGTATCTTCTTTATTTGATATTATTCACTGGGCTTTCGCTCACGCTTATTCATGTGTCTATAAGTGAGCCAAGGGAGGTCCAAACCCAGCCTCAGTGAAGTTTGTGTGAAATAGTCAAGGTTTTGAAGAGTCAGCTATACGTCTCACGCACGAGACTTGTTTTCGCCCTTTTGCTATTTTGTTATATTTTGTCATGTTGGCGAGAACTTTGGATTACGATTGTATATAGTTTTGATTGGTTGACCATGACTTGAATGATCTTGTTGTGTAAAGCTTATATGTTAACTTTCCTTGATGTGAGTTATTAATGTATGTTTGTAAAATGTTATGATGTGCCATGTAAGCACAACTCTATGAACAAAAGTTTAAAATTACTTCCGTTTGGCCCCCTTAACTTTGTTAAAATATATCTGATTTGGTTTAAGGCCGTAGGTAATCTCGTGATTACTGGCCGGTTATGTCTTTAACTCGTGATTACTGGCCGGTTATGTCTTTAACCCATAGGGGCGGGTTCGGGTCATGACAGCTATGATTGTTGTAAAATTACATGTGAATTAGGAGAATTGAAACTATTTTTTCATTAATTTACATTGAACATTGTTTCACACTTATACGTTGACGATGTTTGTTGTTTTGAGAAAAATGGTGAATCTGGGAAATATGAATTGAAATGTTGAACTAAGTTGGCCTGAGCGTTCATGGTGAAAGTCCAGAAAACCACACGTATACATGGGTGCCAATCACGCGAACAAAATTTCCGTGAAATGGCAATAGTAGTGCTTGTATAGCTTACGTTTACATGAGTCTCAGTTTACAATTTCCTCCAAACGAAATTTCCAGGAAAGGTTGTATTGTTTTTGAAATTCCCAGAGTGTGATTCACTGCCCTTTTTTTTTTTTTATTGAAATGGAAATGATTTATGAATCAAGATATTAACTTGGTATTGTATAGTTTTGAGAATAGATATAATAAATGTTTTGGCATAGGCATAAGCATTAC